ACAGCTCTTGCACCTCGGCGGCGATTATCGTTTATGCAGGGCTGCATGATTTGCTTCGGCGCTAGGTATGACTAGTGTCCTTAGTCTTCCTCGCTAGCATCATCATGTTTATTGCTATTGCTATGGGCATGTCATGTCTAAGTCATCACTCTTATTGAGTTTTTGCCTGCTGTATTCGACGATGTAGGCACTGTTGCTACTGTTAAAGATGTCGACACCAGGTCAGGAGGCCACAAATGCACAAGTTAACAGCACGGTCAGTATCAGCGGCATCCTATTCCGAAATATTTCAGACACGGTTCACCTACTCTCTACGTCGAATGTCCCAATGACCCGTCAAGGATCGTAGGTAGAGTCCCGACACCCGTGAACATACGTATACAAGCGAGAAACCCTGAGCCTCCAGGCTACGGTATTCATACAACATATGGTCAGTATATACAGAATTACAACATATCATATGATCGTTCGCTCCTGTTTCGGGGGTAGGTGTCAGGGTTCATGCCGCCCCCAATGGCTGCCCGAGAGCCCAGATGAAATACTCTACTGCATTATATCATGTTAGATTGTGTTATGTTTTGTTGTGTTATGTTGTATTAGATGATATGGACTTATAGAGTATGGTATTATAGTATAGCATATTATGGTGCACAATGGTATGTTATATTGGAGTGCCTGTTTTCAGGCAGAAATAGAACAACAGACGGATCACCGCTTCAAGCGCCCGCAGTACCTGGCGGAGGCCACACCCCTCGGTACGTTGCCGGGTTGAGTGCCTTGGGTTACCTAGGGTTGTGTTTGTTTGCTTGGGTAACGTCGCATACTGACGTCTACTTGGAGCTGGATAGCATTACTTCGGGTAGCCAGGGATCTTGGAAGCTTGTGGTGGTTTGCCGTTTCATGGCTTCGCCGTGCCTTCGCCACCTCCGTATCCATGCGAGACGTGCCATCCTTGTGTGGGCTTCAGCCCAGCGACTCCAGAGGCTCTAAACCCCAAATCCTGAACCCAAGTCAGTATTCAAACCGCTGGCCTCAAATCCTGAACCATATCCCCAAATCCTTAAACCCTGAACCCTAAACCCTAAACCCCCAAACCCTAAATTCTGCCTGGGAGTTCTTCTGATAGGACAGACCTTGGGCCGGCCCACAATCTGCCAAACAAGCCTTCAACGATCTTCAATGATTGCCACATGGAGCCCTTCGACGGGGTTCGGGCTATGCAGTAAGGCTTATAGAGTCTGAACAGTAGTTTGAGTTTCTATGTAATTGTCTTCATCCCATGTCGCATCTTTGCCTTGAGGCACGATTTCTATGACTATCGGGTCCGTCAAGCCGTTTCGACCCAAACCCACACCCCAAAGCTCAAAGCGAGAAGGCCAGAAGCTCAGCTGCCCCCCCCCCCCCTGCCTGTACCCTACCTTCTGCCTATACCATCCTAATATGCCCTAAACCTTCCACAACAGGCCCTGACGCATTACTCCGCACAGTCAAGGTCTGATCCTTAGCCCGGTGCTCTCGCACGGTGGTGGGGAGATGGGGTTCAGGGAGCGGGGGGGTGTGGGATTCAGGCCTTAGTCCCTAAACCCTAAACCCTAAGCCCTAAACTCTAAACGCCATCAGTTGCACGGGTGAGCTCCCATTAGTTGAGGGTTTCTCTGTTCTGGAGTGCTCAGCCCTTCGAGTGGTGTGTAGTCCGGCTTGATGTCTGGGCCACTGAACTCGTGGCTACAAGTTGGCAACGATCCATATCTGCCTAAGGCTATTTCGTACACGAACCCATGCATGATGCACAGTCATGTCGGTTCTTGTGCATTCTGTACCCACACTCGTATACACAAATAGATATGTGACACTCTATGTATACACAAGTAGATATGTGTACATCTTTGTGATGTATGTAGATACAGAGAGAGACTTCGAGCCGAGGGAAGTTAACTAAGTTAACTCGCCCAGCTGCCGAGGCTGGTTTCTCCCGACCCGCGCTCCTCAACCCTAAGCCCTATAAACACCCTACCCCTAGACCCAAAGCCAACTCTAACTCTAAACTCCTAACCCTGAACCCTGAGACCCCAAGCCTAAGACTACATGTGAGCCCTTTAACCCTCAAACCCCAGCAGGATGGGATCCGAAATCTAGTAGCACTCCACGGGGTTGCCTGAATTTGAAAGAACACACCGAAACGTTACAGACCCTAAGTCAAAAAACAAACCCTGAACCCTGAACCTTCAAAATAGACCCTAAACCCTGAACACCAAAAATAAACCCGAAGCCCTAAAGCCTAAAGCGACACACCCCAAAGCCCCTCAGCGTAGGGCCGTGCGCTCGAACGGACACTTGGCTTTGGCCGGGCACCTGGAAATGAGATGGAAGACGACGGGCTTCCTTGAAAGGGTCTAGGGTTGAAGTTGCAATAGGCTATAAGAGCTACTTTTGGAGTAAATATGGAGGCCGGAATTATTGTTGGCACCGTTTCTTAGGGTTCGTGATTATGTTCATTAAAATAGACTACAGTACAGCAGTGTTATTCCTGCTTATAGTATGGCTTATAGGCTACCACCCCAAAAATAATGAGGCCCCTACGTTGAGTCTTCAGTGCTCTGTTTGCCCCTATGGTTGAAGATGAAGTGAAAGAGTCTGCAGGGTTGTGTTGGGTTCACAGTCTAGGACATTTTCAGGTGGGTAGTTACCGTTATAGGAGCCTTATAGAAGGTCTATATATCTTATGGAAGCTTTATAGAAGCCCTAAAGAACCCCTAAACTCCCCACCTGTAGTTTTCTTTAACCCTAAACCCTAAACCCTAAACCCTAAACCCTAAACCCTAAACCCTAAACCACGGGTTTGACTGGAGGTTTGAGGGTTTCACAAATGCTGGCTTGGAGCTGCACTTAGTCTTTGGGGTCCGGCCTATGGGGCCTTTAGGGTTCCTTTTTAGGGTTTAGGGTTTAGGGTTTAGGGTTTCGGGTTTAGGGTTTAGGGGTTTAGGGTTTAGGGTTTAGGGTTTTCCGCTTCGGATCAAGTTTAGAAAGGTTGGAGTTTGTAGCAAGGCTGAGGGCTGGGATGTACTCAGCCCTCAACCTTAATATGTCAGAGCTGACAGCGCAGGTGGATTTAGCGTGCGGTTCTGGAGGGTTCAAGCGCATAGGCCTGCTAACAAGGGTTCACTTTCACGGTTGATGTAAGTGGAAGTTCACGCTAGACCGAAAGCCAGCCTCCTGAACCCTTCGTGCTCTTTGTTTCTCTGTCTCTCCGTCCCTCTCTGTCTTTCTCTTTTCCCTAAATTCTCAACCCCGAACCCGAAACCCTGCACAGTTCGGCGTGCAGCGGTGCCCAGGTGGGCGAGATTGTGATGGAAGGTTACGTCTCGGACAAGGTCGTGAAGGAGGCAACGCCCTGTAGGTTCTTGGAGGGTTTTATGTGGCCTGACAGTGGGGGGTTAGAGGCCATATGGGGCGTTTAAGGGTGTATGGGGCTTTACGTGGCTGTATGTCGGCAGGCGGCATAGAGGCGTAATTCAAAGCTTCGGGTTGCTCTAGAGAGCCTCAGGTATCGATGTTCCGCTAAATGTGAAGACACATTCTCGTACAACCAAGGAACCGTCAACACGCCTTGGGAGGGCTTGCGGATTCGGGTGTGCATCGGTTAAATGGGTAGTTCTCTAAATTAGGGTCCCTTTTTAGGTCCCCAATATAGTACGGCACCCTTATAAAAGGGGACCCTAAAAGGGACCCTAATTTAGAGAACTACCCAAATGCCATCATTTCCACGACTGCAATTTAGCAGGAAATCCGAAACGCCCCGAACTCACGGATTCCGCGTGTCACGGGATAAACGAACAGGAACTGTAGGTATCCGACTCTTGTGCGGCTGTCCGTCTTTGATTCATTTTTAGTAACCTTTTCTTCTCGGACAAGGAACTCAGCAACTAGGAATTGCGTTGAGTGTGTGGAGGGGACTCGAAGCCGTTACCTCCTGATCCGAAAAAATAAAAAGCGAAAAGCCTAAACCTCAAACCCACAAAAACCTAAAGTCGTATAAGGACCTTGAGGCGGATAAGGGGAAGGTAGGGGATGTGGTTTCTTGAAGCAGGTCTTATCAGACCCTTTTCAGATTCTTCTTGGAGGGGAGTGAGGCCGCCTACCCAAACCTCTAAGCCCTAAAACCCTTAACCCTGAACCCGAACAACCATCCAAAACCTAAACCCTGAACCCTCCTGATGTCTTTCGTCAGGCGATGTTCTTCGGATCCCATCTCGTGGTCGGCCACAAAGAGGTAGGGTGTCTGAGTAGGTCTCAGGTTTCACTCAAAGGGTTAAGGAGTTTCGGGTTGAGCTTTCGGGGTCTGTGATTTCAGTTTAGGGTTGTCTCTGTTCGCAGAGCTGCAGATGTTGTTGATATCAAGTGTCACAGGTGCATGCCTCTTGTAGTCATGCACTGTTTGTGCTCAGGAGGAGTATTCGGAGGCGGAATATCCCCTCATTAAACGTCAATTTAGAAGCTCGTTTGCAAATCCCAACGATCGACCCCCACGTTCCGACAGGGCCAGCCACTTTCGAAGACCTTTGCCACACCGAAAGGCGCGGTGCAGTTCTGCTGTCGGCCACGCAGTACTCTATAGCCTTTTTCCGCCGGCGCCAGCGCCAGCGCCAGC